GTGTTCAGCATTTCAATGTTAAAGACTCTATACATATACATTAGTAAAAAATCAGTCAAATGACTCTGATTTAAAATAACAAAACAAGCAAAAAAACAATTTTATGCTGAAACAGTACTTTTGAACATAAAATTACGAATTTTTAACGATTTCTCTTTCATTCTTGTTTTATCCTATCCGAATAATTAAAAAAATTTATCGAAAATTGGAGCATACAATTTATTCGCTATCCAAATAATCAAACATCCGAGCAATATTCGATCGAAACAAATTGTGAAATTCTGTTCACAAGATCATTTCTCATTTGTTATTTATCTTTGCAGCGTCATTTGTATTCTGCTTCGCCGACGCTTTTGTTTTCGTTGACTTTGAACTTATTGAATTAGAAAAGCATGGTCCTTGGTATCTTTTTCATTCAATACAATCGCCGACTAACATCGGCGAATATCGTCGAATAACAAAGCTTTAAAGTTTAACGAGGTATTATATACGTGAGATCTATTGCAAGTTTATAATTACATCAATGAAAATAATAATTCTGTTATTAGAGACGAGTATATCACCAAATAGATACATGAGCGATTTGCGAGAATGAGTTACAAAAATGATGTTTACAATTATATGGAAATAATAAAATTAATGATAAAAAATAGGATTGGTTGTAATCACCCAATGCTTCGTTATCGTTCAATAATGATCAACTGTAACTCACATTAGAATAGACGTAAAGATAGCGATATTTTGAAACGTTAACACATAATTGCAGAAATCACAGTGATGACAGCATATTGCAGACAGAAAAAGATTAGAAAGTGCACGTAAGAGAGAAAAAAAATATGAAAGAAATTAAATCATGTTAAAGTAAGGAACGTTATAATGAAGTAATGAAAAGAAGAAAAATAAACGTAACGAGCAAAGGACACGAGCAGAAAGAGCACCGTATAAACCAGTAAATAAGGACTGAAAAAATTTCAGCAGTATAAACGTACGTGTCAGAAAAATAAATGTATGAAATCATGAAGATAAGAGTCGCACTGAATTGACGAAAGAAAAGAATGAGAAACAAAAAGTGTGTGTCATGAGGTGTAAAGAAGAGGATGAATAAAAAGAAGAACAAGAAGGCAGGAAGAAGAGAAGGTAAAGAACGGAGCTGACAAAAGCGCACCGTTAAGGTAACAGACAACATACGGGAGGATAAAAGCGAATACGATATGAGGAACAAGGAGCAAAGACGAGAGGAAGAGTAAACTATTAAGCGAGAGAGAAGTGCGCTCGAAGGGAAAACGAGCGGACGATCGACAGGTGCTGCGAAGAATTTCTGCAGCATTACTTTATAGTTTATACTGTTTATAGTGCAGTCGTCCGGATCGTCCCGTTCGTCTAACGGGTGGTCGCGTTTAATGCGCTGCGCATTAATTTCTCAACACGACAATTCAAAGAGAATATCAAAATAGAAATGGATCATTCAGCTTATAAAAGTGTGGTAAAATAAAGTAACTCGTGGTGCGAATTAATACTGTCGCCATCGCCGTCATTGCTTGTCTCACGCATGTGATTGTGTCCCGTCACTGATACGACCAGACACGAGAGAAACTCGATCTTATTCTGCAGATAAATAATCCAATAAATAATACTCATATATTAAAATGATATACTAAAGTGTTGCTTTTTAACAAGAAAGAAACATTTAATGTCCAAATAAGAATGTTCCAATGTGCTTTTATTCATTAAAATTAACTTTGTACGTATTGAAGATAATCAGGTGATAAATGTGACTGTAAAAAGAAAGGTAAAAGAAATAGCATTTTAAAAGTATTTTGATATTTTGTTTAAATATAATCAGATATCAGATATATGAAAAAAAGCTTTGTATCTTATATATATATATCATCATAATTGCATTATAATCATGATAGTCCAAGTTTTATATATATATATATGTTGATTTTAAATACGTTTTCTAAACGATTATAAAATAATATAAAAATTAGATACGATTAGGAAACATAAAGTGTATATGAACCATAAACCAATCTGAGAGAATTAATAAAGATAATTATTAAAGTGAATTATAGAAACTAAAATTGATTTCATAAATTCAAAAAAATATTTAAAAAATACTTTAAATTAGCTACAATTATAAATAAAAAACAAAGAAAAAAACTTTATTAATCTCTCAAGATTTCTATTTCAGTATTGATATCGCAATTTCCTGATTCGATGTAAAGATTCAATCGCAGCATGCAAACAAGTTCAAGAGCCGCGAACGCAATCTTACCATAAAAACTCCTTCAGTACGTCTATTTATGTACCGGGTGTTCGCGGAATTTCAAGTGTACTATTCATGGATTTATAATTTATTACTCAAACTCGTACATAACATCAAAGTCATTTTAATTTCAGATTCAATCGCTGTTCTGAATCTTCACCAGTATAACGAACTTGGCACGTACACGATGATAATGAAGCTTGAACGTAATAATTAATTCACATATCGTGCTCTAAGCATCGCGTTTCTCGCGATGTGTTAATGTTATGCAATAACTGCGCACGAAAAGTAACGTTTCGGTAAACGAGACAAAAAGTGCTGTTAATGATGAGATCATCACTGTTTCAGGTATAACGCGAATATCAATCCAATTCAAAATAGTATTATAAACACATACGGTATTAATGATTAATATAACAATTATAAACAAGATCAGCCGATGTTGATAACTGATTGAGCCGAGTCAGATATCCGCGTAACGGATGTTAATTACTTTTTATGTAATCACACTCATGATATTAGTGCCGCACTATTGCTGTTACAGCTATAAACGATTCAGCGGTGAGTAATTCATACTTCATTATAATTGTCGTCCCGTTTATTGTACTCGTTCACGGTACTTTCTCCAATATGATTATCGAAAGCATAATCATACTGTGATTAGCAGTCGTATTCGCGATGTCAAAGTCGTCAAAATCTTTTTCGCAAAGATATCACGTCGCAATGCGTCGCGTTGTACTTGTTATACTTGTTACATGGCGCGTTTAGGTCGAGAGAACATTCAGCCCGACAGATCCGATAATATCGCACTTTCTATGCTTTCCAATGTACCGGGAATACATTTCGCCCACGCTAATAGTCCACGATTTACGCAATCTTTCCTTGCAAATCAGAATGAAATAGGCATGAGCGTTTTACATGGGAATCCGCACGGCGAATCCGAAGAAAAGTGAAACCAATGAGGGAGTAGTAGTAAGATGAATAAAGCTTTAAAGTATATGTGCATCGAACTCGATTGATATTCGCTCGGTTGGTCACCGGAGAGAAAGTGGCCGCGACATGACGGACATGATTTTCGTCGCGCGAAAATAGCGCGTCTGATGATTTACGTAGCCTACGAGCGTGGTAGGATATTTATGGTGGCCGCCATCCGTCCAGAGATTATCCGGTCGACTGATGCGGAAATAACGACCAAATACGAAAGTTGGTGTTTTACGAACGGGCCATTACGTCTGCAGCTCGATCGTCGTACTCGTGGTACTCGCCTCGACCCGTACCGGTCGTAACGCCTGTAACGACCGAGTGCCAGCGAGTGCCAGCGAGTGCCGAATGCAGAGTGCAGAGTGCAGAGTGCGTTTCCCGCCTGACTGCACCGACTGCACCGACTGCACTGGCTGCACCGACTGCACGGACAGCGATTCCGCAAGCTAGACCTTGCAACTGCAAATGGCATACAATACGCCGCTCCTTTTCACCGCGCGAACATATTACTACGTATTACTACGTATTACGCGCGATTAAATGAGGCACGTTTAATCCATGATAGTCTCGCATTTTCAACAAGTAGGGGAGACCGGAGTTAGTTGACTATAGGGGTAAGTAGAATAATTGAGGCTACATTAAAAACAAAACACACGAGACACGCGTAAGCGACTGCCGCTAAGTTTGCTGTAACATCTTGCGATTTATGATAGAAGTTATGTCACAATTTTAAAAAATCGTACACCTAAGTAAATATTTTTATTCTCGAAGTATTTGTTTTACAATCGTATATGATTATCTGAGATATTTTCTACTTAGTAAGTGTAGTTCTTACTTAAAATCCAACAGATTTTTTTTTTTATGTGTCTTTATTACTGTATATTGTCAGTGTTTTGAAAAATAAATGGATGGAGTAGTAGACTAAGCATAGAACTGTATGACTCATTTAGTGACGACTCTTATAGTACTTACTCAAAATTTTATTCCTTTGAAAAGATTTTTCTTGGCAGTAAATGTTATAAGTTTAGTTCCCTCCTGTCCAATCTTTCTCGAAAACTAGGCTCATCCAACGTGTTTTTGCACGAAATGAACAAATTTTGCAAAAAGAAGCATTGTTTTGCCCTCCGAAGAGAATGTTTGTGTTTAAAATATATTTTTATAAAAGTTTTATTAATATGTAGCCAAAGATGTAGCTTAAAATACATTAATCTTTAATTTAATAATCTTAATCGAATTATCCCGATCGCGGGGCTAGTTGAATCAGATGGAATGCATTAGAAAAATGCATTTTTTTCATGTTAGTTATCAGTTTCCCCTTATTAAAATATTATTAGGTAGTCAAATGTATGTAGTAACTGGTGTAGAATTAATTTTTTCGATAAGTCTCTTAATTTCGTCTGTAAAAATTCGAAACTGAAAAATGAGTCTATTAGCCCCGGTCTCCCCTACTCGACTGTGCTCGATGCGACGAGTTTGTGCGACAACGCACTATTTCGCGTAATAATATACGCAATCTAATAAACTGTAAGAAACGAAGAAAACTCCAGGCACGAATAAGAGAGAAAATACATTACGTGAAAGAGACGTTTTTAACAATTAAATACATCGATAGCCTTAATAAATCGCAAATAAATAATACGATTGCTTGACTTTAAGATAAAATAATAAAGAAAAAATAGTTGAGTCTCAAAATCTGCGAATATACCTATAGTATGTTGGATTCACGAGCATATGAAATTCATATACTAACCTGGCTATGCGACGGACTTCTCAGCGGAGACGTCGAATCGCGGAGACGATAAATCTTCCTCGACGAGTGAGTCTCCTTTCGCTCGCGTTCAGCGGCGACGTATCTCTGTTTTGTTTTCTTCTCTCAAGGAAGAGATCTCTCTTCGGAGACGCGCGCGATCACCATTCACCGAAAGAACGCTGAAAGAACGAACGGCAACGGACGCGTATCGCATCGGTCTTGCGTGTCGCCTCGGTATTTCCTTAGCTCGATATTTCATCCGTTCTTTTATACCGTCGTCCTTTTGACTCGGCGACGAGCGTGACGGAAAGAGTATCTCGAGACACACCACAAAGAGAGGTAGGTAGGTAGGTAGGTAGTAAGTATAGAAGCGGAGACGACGCTGAACGGAGGTAGGTGTGTTCAGACGTTGTTCCACGCCGAGTGGAATGAAGTCTAATCGGCAGGATACCGTTTTAACGAACCTCCGAGTGCCTTAATAAGTGCTCGTGCAGGTAATTGACAATGACCTGTCAGTCGGCGGCGTGCGCGACGTTATCGCGGTTCGAGCAGTTCGATAGATAATAAAAATGTCTTCGGAAGCCACTGCTTCGTTTACAATCGGCGCCTTATTATTGCATTACGCATCGATATATTATCTTAATGATCTTTTAATTATAATTACTTCTCGCATAAATACATTTCCTCCAGATAGAAAGGAATCACAAATAATCCTTTGTTCCTTACGTAACTGCTAGAATATGAGTCTCAAGTCAGCGAAATATTGTACGTGACTCCTATTGTGACAATTCATTTATCTCCTCTTTTGCATGGACAATTTGCAAATTTTATTACTGACGCACAATCACGCAATCGGTTATTGCGTGATCATTTCCACATCTTATGTCCACTCGACGAAAATGTAGATACTATTCACGTGGATCTCCGCTCTGCATTTGGCTCTTTTCTCATCAAGAAATCGGTCTGGTCGATTCTCGATTCTGTCCCTACACCTTGCGAAGAATATCGCGATATCAAGATTAATAGGCGACGCACTCGCAGCAAATTCGTAAATACGATGAATTCTCGGCAGGCGACAACAGCGCAACAACGATGACGATCTCGTTATCGCACTCGATACGAAACGTTATCATCACGACGACAACGACGACGACGACGACGACGAAGATAGCACGGCGTATCCGAGCGTGCCCGAAGCCTTCATGCCGTGGTAAATGGTGCGGAAATCCAGGTTGCCGAGCATCGACGTGCGTCGATCTGAAGCCGGACGAGTAAGTATGAGTAAGTACAAGCCGATCCACCTTCCTCGTCCCTGACCTGCTCAACCGACGACCTCGATGAATCACCTCGGAAGCTGGTCTGGTCGACAATCGACGAAAGTTCACACGCGAGGGAGCGAGAGCTTCAGTCTCTTTCAATCTTTCTCTCTCTCTCTCTCTCTCTCTCTTTTTTCTTGCCGCTTCACTTTACGATGACCTTCGATGAGATTCCCGCTTCGATGAAACGATTACTAAGATACAACGTCAATGTACGATAATGCACAATGTTTAGAATTCTAACATGAAATCCAAAAATTTATGTCTCATAAATTCTTCGAAAACTTGGAAGATTTTTAACGACAGTTTTGAAAACATCGAAATGATCGTGTTCGATTTATTTTGTATCACGTCTGATCGCGTTGAACAGGACACCAAACCACTTTGCTCTGTCGATTTGTTCGTGAAAATTGAGACGAGAGGATAGTCTAGACGATTCTTTATGTGCGACAAGATACTTCGGAAAACTTTTCAAACGAGATGCAATCGCGACGCGCTTGTCTAACTTGTGAAAACTTGCAATAATTCTTCGTGAAACGTGTCTACTACATGAAGCATAAGCACGTTTAATCAAAGTTTTGATCGGTACACAACATACAAACGAAGGAAGTTGGAAACGATCTCTTCCGCCTCGTCGTTTCGACGACCTTTGAGAAACGTGAAGAAGAGGTTTTCGTTTGAAACGATTGAATATAGAAGGCAATAATCACGGCAGATTTGGAGATGTTTCTCTTCTCTCTCTTTCTCTCTCTTTCTAGCAAAAGATGAAAAGTACATTCATTCGATAACAAGAGACTTCTTCTTGCCAGATCATACGTGGAGATCAAGACGAGGTATTATCCTGCGACCTTCCGTATCGTACATTTGCGAGGTTTATTCTCTTTTTCAAGTGATTCGCTCCGGAGCCTCTTCAATAACAGAAGATCGTCTTCAATAACGAGGAAAATGATCCCTGGATGAAGACGAAGAGTCTCAATGACGGAAGATTACGTTGCAATGGCCAACCAGATACCGGACTGGTCGGATAAGAGCTACTTCGTCCTGTCGAATCATTCAAGGAGATTAAGTCGAGATTACATTCTACCGAAGGTACCGCTGAGAGGAGATTCGATTATGGCACACTCGCGTCACTCGGCAACATTCAATAATTCCCGGTATAAAACGTGCGTCTACGTGAAGAAGAATAAGTGCGATGCAACGTAATGAACGTGCATGCGCGCCTTTCGTGATATACGAGTATCTCGCTAATCTGCAACGGTATCGCGTGCACGTTCAAGACATCAGCTGAACGTTTGTTAGCACTTGCGTGCCAATTTCGAATGGTCGAACTGCGCAAAACTAAACTGTGCGTCCAGTGTAGACATTTTAAATTGACAGTCAAACTTTTGCGCAATTTTCTTTGGTACACACTACTATTTACGGTGTATCCAAACCATCTACATCATTCGGACTAGTGGCACATTCACACATTTTATCTCACAGATTTCGATCGCGCTCGATAACCACTCACGATAGCATTGAACGATCTATCCGATCGATCGATCACCGATCTTTCGCGCGCAACGATGCGGCTGCGCGCATGTCTGCGAAAATCGTGAAAACGAATGCTCGTTTCGAACCGAACCGAACCGAACCGGACGGCGCGGCCGCCGCGCCGTTGAATCCCGGATGACTTGGAGCAACTTGGAGCCACGGACAGTCACGGACAGTCACGGACAGTCACGGGCGCGCATGGAATACGATAAACCGAGCGCACTGGAGCGCAGGTAAGAGCGGATTTCGAACAACTACGTGCCGGTCGGAAGGCGGCGTTTCTTTCTCCCCTGCATCGGCTCGCCGCAGAGAGAGGGAAAATGGCGAAACCATGGAGGTGGAGGTGGAGGTGGAGGTGCTGCTGCGAAATACGCGGGGGAAGGGATGAAAGGATCTATGATATTCCCGATATCGCCGATCGAGATCGGTGCCTCGGTGGTGACTGGTGGCTATATCACGAGAAAGGCTTCGCTCGACGAAAGCACCCTCTCATGTTTTTATCGGTTTTCCATCAACGTTCCCATCAGCTTCTTACACGTGGAGCACGTGGAATTCTGCCCATCTCACTTTTATGGAAATCTCTATTTCCATAAAACTCGGTCACCTCGCGTATACAGATTTCCAAGGGAGTAAGGAACGTCCATGTCATAAGGACATTCCTAAACGTCCTTCGGATAAAGCGTGCTTATTTTTATCTTTTCATATTTTCAATAATTAACTTTGTTTCATTGAGCACAAAATAAGTTACGGATCAACAAAATCATTTGTTTGTTAAAATGCAAGCATAGTTGAAAAAAATTGTCCCATTATACGATATATAAATGATAATGTAATATAAATATAAATATAATATAATTTTTTAAACTTATATATTTCACAGAAGATTTTTTTTTATTTTTATAAATTATGTTATCATATAACGTATGCGTTGAGTTCTTTTAATTAAAGCTGTCATAAACTAAACGAAACGTTAAACTATTCGATCCAAAAATTTAATTTTAAATAAAAGATATCGGAAAGATGTCTATTAATTATGTAAAATACAAATACATTTTGGAAAAAAAGGTACGTTCCACAGACAATGTCGCTGCTCACTCAAGTCGCAATTTTACGGGTAGTGAGTCAACTAACCCCCGACAACTAACTGTCAGTTGGTTCCTGTCTAAAGCAACAGGTGCTCGTCAACCGCTGGCATGTGGTAGCCGCACGAACGTAAGGCGGCATGCATCTTTTACATTTTAAGTCACGATATTTTCGGGATCGCAAAATACCATTATAATTTACATTTTAAATTTTTCGTCCCTAATGAGAAATATTCTCACATGCGCCTTAACGTAAAGAGATGGTAAATAAATTCCCCGCCAATTCCTTACCAATCCTTTAATTATCCATATATTGTTCTGCTGAAAGGGATTTACATTAATGGGATTATAACACCTATGCGCGTAAATCTACAAATGGTAATCTTAAATATGCATTCGATATATAATATTTTTTGCCACTTATATAGTGATCGGTAGACTTTTCTCTCCACCTTTCTACACGTACGGTAGATAGATTATATAAAATATCGTCGTACAAAATAGTAGTAGTATCACCTATCAATTTCGTTCCAACGGATGACCCTATACACAGTATCGATTGCAATCAATGTTCGTCGCGAAATACTTGCACTCTACTCTTCGAACCCGCGAGAATTCTAATTGTAAGAAACATATTCCCACGACTAGAGAGAGAAATTAACGATTTGTGGTCCTTTGTATTTCGAAAAGCGCTTGCGGCGGTCCTTCGCCTTTCTAATATTCAAATATTCCAGTAAAACATAAGATATATTTAAAAGAATGACTTTAAGAATGACTTTAAGAAGGTAGATTAGTGCGCTTGTTAGAGACACAATAATCTTCTTTATATAGCACCTTTTTTAGACGTATTATTTTATCACTTTACATATATCGACATGGAATAACTTATATTTAAAATATAAATTCTCTCTTCTCTGTACTTCTTCTTTGTTATATTTCACGAAATAGAAATGTGTATACGTGTATACCTTGAAGAATTTTGCCAGTGTTAATCTTTGTACTATTGTAAATTGTTATAATAAATAAGCGTGAGAAATGGATCTTGTGCAGGATAGGATCACACAATGAACGAACGAAACTGAAAAGACGGGAAACATTGTACTATGATTCAAGTTTTATTAAACAAATTAAATACAAAAGATTTTCTGTTGCTTGCTGTCCGCGTTATACAGACGAATATATCTCGGGGTTATAAATAATTAATTAAAACAACAGAACGAGGCATGGTATATAAATAAAATAAAGAAAGAAACGGTGTGAGCGGAAGAAAATGCGGCCCGTCTTAACTTCCATTTCCCGAACAGTAAACATTCTCGCGTGTTCGCATTATATTGTTTCTTATCAAAAATCACTAAAAGAAAAAGAGCAAGAATTAACTATAAAGCGTCCAGGCTTTTTTAATATATCCGAGACTAAATTTATAATGCTATCACAAGGTATACATGATTTTACTGAAACATGAAAGTGAAATTTCCACTGAGAATTCTGCGTTCCAACTGATATCGTAAATAGCATATTTACATTTTATGTGCTCTTATATCAAAATTCCTGTTCTTTACAAACATTTCTTGCATTAAAAACAAAATTGTTAGAAATATGTATCTCATTTATAATATATAAGCAAAATAGTATTTTCGATATCCAGAATTCCCAAATAAAAATTCATTAATTTTTCTCGAAAGTTATAAATGCACGTGGAATGACAGAACCTGGTACGCCTAAAATGCAAAAGATAATTAAAGAAAGAACAAAGATAAAAATAGATAAATATTTGTCGCATCAGACTTGAAGAAAATGATTTAGTTTTTGACGCTGCATGACGAAGAACCTTAATTATCAGTAAATACGCTTAAAATTTTTTTTCGAGAACGTTGGATATTAATATTTAAAAGTCGTTAGGATATGTACAAAGAGATATAATATATGAATATGAAGTGTGTGTGTTGTGTGTGTGTGAGTGTGCGTGTGTTTGTGTGTGTATGTAATTATATTGAATTCCTGTCCCAAAAGACCGAGCTGAACCATATATTCCATCTCGATCCTTCAGGATCAACTACATCGAAGAGTAACACAGTCTTTGTTTTCGAAATTGATCGTTTAATAAAAGACAGAAAACAGAATTAAAAGATAAAATAAACTTACATTAATAAATAATGATAAAATTTAATAGCGATTCATTAAACGAGGATTTTGTGTTTTTTTCTTTCTTTTTTTTTTGAGATAATTAAGAGGAAGGCAAAACGAAGTTTGGAATGTAATTAATGGTAGAGATAAAAAAAACTGTGTTGACTCTTAATACTCTTTCTTTTTGTCTTTCTTTTTCACATACACATTCATTCTTTCGCGCGTTTTTTCGATTTCCGTATATTTGGCAATCGTAAAAACGGTGCCTGGGTAATTAGGCCCTCTTTGTTAACGCATCGATACATATCGTGCACGCATTACAATTTCTTTATAATACTTAAAAAGACTCAAGTCTCATGTAAGCAGGACAAGAGCGTGTGTGTGTGTGTGTGTGTGTGTGTGTGTGTGTGGGTTGGTGTGTGGGTGTGTGTGTGTGCGTCATGCATGTGTACGTACACACATTTGTATCTGTGTATATTTAATATACATGGCTAAATCTACTGTAATAAAGCCAACCGCTTCTCTCGTATCGACATGTAAAGTAACGAAAAAATGTTATTTCTTATTTTTGTCTTTATCCTCGAATTCTACGAGATACAATTTGAACAAATTTCTTTCGTATGTTGCAGATTACACTTGAAACAAATAATCCCAATTATTTATAAAATAAAGAATATAAACCCGATGATAATCGATGTAAATTAGTATCGAATTAAAGGTTGAAAAATAAAAAAAGGTTAGAAAAATAATAATTTATTTACAAGTTAAAATTAGTTATGCATTCTATAAAAATAAATGGAGCAAAGTATATAATTTCGTGACGTGTAAACGAATACGCTTAAAAAGATTACGCGATTCTGAAAAATAATTACCTCGATCGTAGACTTCGAGAAACTCTTTTTCTTTTGTACTTGATTACGTCGTTATTAAAATTCGCGAAAGCGTAAAAGTACATCAACTTTCCTTATAAAATTTAAATTGTCTGTACCAGAGTCAGATTGGCAATAGAAATTTTTTAAAAAGGAAGGCGCTTAAAATGGAATAAACCGTTTCGACTAACGTAAACGAAATCTAAAACGATTATGAGACATTTCCATTTTTTTTTACTGTTAAAAAGACGAATCTTTTTAATTATTAAATATATAAAGTGTGTTTGATGAAACTATTGTTTTTTGTGTTTAACACAAAAGCTAATCGCACTATTCTAAATAATGAATCTTTGTCTCATTTCTCGTAATTTCTTTACTTCTCTTCCCTAATTACTATAACACTACGCTATTTACACCAACTTATGCTATTATGGGACACTAAAGATTAGCCTACTAAGTATATATTACAGAACACGCCGTCATACTTTCTCTGGCGACACGCAATATATATATATAACATCTTTGGACTTGGTTTTATTACACATTTATATAGAATATTACGATAATTTTCTCTCCTTCTCTCATCTAATTCGCTTCTCGCTACCTCGTGAAAGCCCACGAGCGCTTATTTGAGAAACGTTTCTTCAGTCTAATAAAAGAAAAGTATTCTTCTCCTACCGTCTTTTCTCTTGCTTACCGACATTTGCCAGTTATTTGTCGCTTTCCACGATACGTTGTATAAATATTTTAACGCTTGAGATTCTCGGTGATTCCTTCAGGTTCGTCGCGGTGACCCTTGGAAGACAAGCGTTCTGTTTAAATAAGAATAAACGCCTTTTCTCATAGTAAAGTCTAAGGTTCCATCAACATGAAAAATTGGCCCACGCCTCAAGAGAATGTCATGACATGTTAAAGACCAAAAGCCATCGAATTAGGATGCTACAAATGCAAAACGACATTCGCCGTTATAAGAAGAAAGTTCGTAAGCGTTATCGATCTTTCTTGCATTCTCTTTTCGCTTAACAGTTCGCGCATGGCATCATCCGGCAACGATTTCTCTTTTGGCCGTGCAAAAAAAAACAGTATGACAAAATTAACTAAACGATAATTGAGACTCGGCGAAACTCGTGGATCATTTAAACCGCCGACACTTGAGCGTCCTCGTCATCTGCAACATTTCAAAATGTGTTTCAGTAAATGACATTCATTAAAGTAATGAAAAAAAAAAATATGATGAAAGTACGAGAGAGAGAGACTCTAATTTGTATCAATAAAATTTAACGCGTGTAATGCTGCTTCATTTAATAATATCGGAATAAAATATATCATAAAAATATTTCAATGCAATGTTACAGTGATTCACAATGCCAAGATTTCTGCTAAAAAAATAAAAGCTATTGCTAAAAATTCCATGCTGCATAACGCAATATTATATGCAATATTTATTGTGTGTGTGTGTGTGTGTGTGTGTGTGTGTGAACACACAAAGCAATTTACAAGATGTAACAATAAATTTCTAGAATAATTTTGTTTCCATCAAAGTGGCAAGTAAACCGATACTTCCCGAAATCCAGATCCTCTCGATCTGCATGCAAAGGATAAACATTATCAATCGTTTTAGTTATTGTACAAGTTAATTTTTTGTAAAGTTTTTTTTGTATTAATAAAAAGTGGAATAAACTTTAGGACTAAAAAATCAAATTTTAAATTGATAATATTTTTAGTGAAAAGTAGCAAATCGTAAACAGATATTTATGAAAAGTTGATCAAAGTTTACTTTTTTCCCTAAAAATTTTATAGATCTTTCCAAATAATATTATGTTCAAAATCGGAACACAAGATGTCTTAAGGAGACATATTTAAAATATTATATTGGGTCATCTAAAAACCGCGGATACTTTTTAGATGACCCAATATATTCTCTCGTTTTGGGGACATGTGTGATGCTCTAAATTTGTTTTAAATTGCATTCCATTTTTCTTATAACACGAGATACAAATACGTCTTTACACGAACCAACTTGTAAATGACTGAAATGATTGATGATGATTAATTTACGTATGCAGAGGGGAGAGGGAGATTCAAGTTCACACAATGGTGGAAAATAATGTAAATGATTTAAAATATTGTAAATCGAACTTTGGTGAAAACAAAATTATTCTCAAAATTTTATTATCACATCTCATATATGAACAATTTATATATTTTTTTTTCATATCATTATGCGTTAGAGTCTCTCACCTAATAGGGCGATGCCTATAAATATAAGATATTGCATTTCTTTCTCAAATTCTAAATCTCATTACTTTAAAAAAAAATAGATCAATTCGAAAAAAATAAATAGTTGATGCAAACGAAAATGAACAAAGGATAAAACGTGCGACAGGGACAAGCAGCAAATCATGCCTAGACATCACGCAAAAAATAAACAAATCGCAAAATTTAATATATCGTAACGTTTCAATGCAAAGTTCAATGATGATAGGCAAGCTTGTGTATTATGCAATGATCATTAACATAAATATTGACATAATGCAAACAAACATGATTATACATCACAAAATTATGTGATTATGCTTAATGAGTGCTACATGACGATCACACTGATTAAATACAAATTTTACAAACATATTATATAGATATTATATAGATATTTCGCTAATTTTACAAATATTAGATATAGTATTTATTTACATTGTGTTGTAATAACCACATAATATCCGTTAATTGCTAACTGCTATTGTATTTATAATTACGTTCAATATTGTGTTCAAAAATGTATTTGTTGTTATGCTCAAGATTTCGTTTCAATATATTAAGTATGTCATATATTATTACGTTTTCTTAAAAATAGAAAAGATTATTTCAGAAGAAGTGGCTTGCAAATATTTCTAAATTAGCATTACATATCAGAATAAAAGATTATAGTCCTAAAAAAAATAGTTATAAATATAGTTTTATATATTCAAAATAATAATCATTTTCAATGCACGCACGATAAAATAAAATATCAAACAGGAAAAAGTAATAAAAATGTTGTAAATTAATAATCGTGAGAGTACAGTTTTAACGAAAGCAATTCTGACAGTAGTGAACTGACAGAGTGCTTTCACCAACAAATCAGCACTCTTCGTGCGTGAACGTTGACAACGAGAACGTAAGAAGCCTCAACGAGCGTAAACCGAATATATGTGTGTATGAGGGTGAGTATGAACCGTGTGTAAACGGTACAACGATTTTGCTAGATGTAGTACCATCTTCGTGATCGGTTCCTCGATAGGTGACCCCCTCGTGGCTGTTAGCACGACCGAGTCTGTGCAATCTCGCCATCTGCTGCGCAACTTTGTACGCCGGTGGTTGACGACATTGCGGTGTGTTACTCATGCCGGATCGTATCGACGACGTCATGTTACCCGCCATGGCACCCATCGTCGTCATTATGGTCGTGGTCCCCGCTCCAGGCGGTGGCAGCGGAGCTGGCATCCCTAGGCCCATGTTTACTCCTAATCCCGTAGTACCTGAAAACCCTCGACTCTCTCGATCTCTCTTTCTCTTCATTCCGCGCCGCCTTTCCTCACCTTCTCAACATCCTCTCGTTGATAAAGTAATTCACCTGCCATCGCGGACGTAGATATTTGTAAACGAGCGAGAATATTAAGAGAAGTAAATTAACTTATTCCCACTTCTACTCATTCCAATTAACAGAGTAGGTATCAAGACCCGAAATATCTTGTATATTATATAAAACTATATATAACATTAAATATTAAATGCATTATCTTGCAAAATAAATTATATTCAAAAAATAGAGCAAAATAAAAAGTTCTTGTTTTTACAGCATTTTACAATTAGTTCACTCTCTATGCATTTATTTACACTTTTGCAACGCAATATTCATTTATGCGTTGTTACCATCTCTTCTGTTAATATTCAATACGGCCATGTTGATTGAAATTTTTCTTTTATCTTTTTCATCTTTTTCATTTTAGTTAGAAGTAATACAAAAAAGTTACATCACTCGAATAATCATTGATGCCCGTTTCTTACTAATATAGATTAACTTTAATCTCGATTCAACTTATTCTTCATCTTTTTCTAATTCTTGAAACTAAAAAAAGATGAAGAGTTGCTAGAAACGAGTTTGAAAAAGATAACAAATAATCGTGCTCGCGCTTACAGCCAAGATCCACAAGAAATACGATACGCGAGTTTAATGGAAACCGCAAAAGACATTCATTGCTACCCGCCACACAATCTACCCAAGAGGAAAGAAAAAGCACAGATATATATTAGTATTCTGAAAAGAACACTCAATTATCTCCGCTAATACTACGGTATACGCAAATACGCAAATGGAACAAATTGATGCAACGCGTCTTGCATTTCTAGGCCATACTAGAAACGAACGTTAGTGCTACATTTAGCTAGCGTGCGTACCAACAGATTCGTTCGATAATTGATAGTTTTACACACACGGCAACGTCACGCACCAGAGACTAAACACAGATTTTTCTCGAGAAAGACAATCTCAAGTTGCTTACAAAGCTCAAGCTATATAAAGATGCTGAAGACCAAGATTACTTCTACCATACGCAATACTTCAACATGTTTCACATGCATGAGCCATACTGTTTGCACCTTCAAAATAATGTATTCTGCTTTGAAGCAGCAAAGACAACAAAATCAATGAATCAATGCAGGCCAGTCAGACGAAACAGGCAGACAGTCGCGAACTCACCTTGAGGAGTTGGGGGTTGGTGATGATGATGATGAAGAAGATGATCGTGATAATGTTGGTGATGGTGATGATGGTGATGATGATTGTGGTTGTGATTCTGATTGGCAGGAAGCGGAGGTAACACTGCTACCGCGTGAGGAAACGGAGGTGCTCCGCCTCTTATAACAGACCCTGCACCATACAGAGGCCACATACGACATATTTTTTTTTTTTTACAAAATTTACAAACTTGTGCCGCTACTGAAAACGCGAAAAAATCCTCGGAACGAATCATCTTTATGCGATACAAATATTTTCAAAAGCGCATGATTATTATGACGAATAACGCATGAAATACCGCCTGCGTGATCAAGCAAGTAGTAATAAGCTGTAAAGCGAATCTTAGAAGCATCGGAATTTTAAAAAGCGATTAAAAGCACAGTTATTATGCAGCACTCGATGACGCGAATATCGATACAATGTACGGCACGCAAGATTTAGTAATAATATTTCATTCTTTATGTGCTCGTATGATATTTACATTTTACAATAATCCGTTTAACATTTGAAGGTACGTGGCCATGGGACATACGTTTTTCAGCGAAAAAATTTAGCCAATGACATAGTAAATAATTATAATAAATAAAATAATTCATCAACGAAAACTCTTAATATGTAATATTTAACAGAAAGCAACAATTAAAATTTTATATATATATATATATTTATTTATTGTATAAATAATTTATAAACTCAAATCGTAATCGTGAATATTCAAGAATAGATATTAGACTCGGACGGTTTAATTCTCAACGCTAGCATCAAACACGAAAATCACTTTCATATTTCTATAGCATGAAAATCTAGACACACCAAAATAAATAATGCACTAGTTTCGATTCTAAATAATATCAGCAGTACTTTTATTCAATATAAAACGATTGACACGTAACCATCTGACAACATAAAAATAGATAATGTAAAAATTAAAGCCAATGTAAAATAATATAAATATAAACGGACAGGTGTGTAAATAACTATAAAAATCTTACGTAATAAAATATATCCAGCTTTCGTCATGAGCGCGCCAAGAAAAATTCAATTCATTTTTTCGGTGCCAATTTCCGGTCCGATGGCATCGAACACCACGAAAAAACTACTATGTCTCTACTACTCTACTACGGTATGTCTACGGATCGGGCAAGAGGAACAGCACACGAGCACACTTCGCCATAATCCGTTCTCTCGTTTCACTCGCGCCTTTTTGATTACGTACCTTGCAGAGCGGAGTGCCGTCTTTGCGGTGGCGGTGGGCTGCCGCCCGCTTCCACGCTGCTCCCGCTGTGGCTGTCCAGTTGAGTGCTATGACCACTGTCACTGCTCGTCACCGAACCTACGCACAGGTTCCCAAGACACTTCTATCACTACACACGTTCTAACCGAGGGATTACGCCCTGACGCAATCGCTAAACGATCCTATTGTCTAGTCACATTCGCCTCATAATCCGTATCTTTTGTTCTAAACTGTCTCACAAAGAGAGCCGATGTAAGAACCTAATTTAAACTGATTACTTTGCCACACTTCAATTGCACGTCTCTCGCACATTCCTATCTACATTTCTTTCTTGCTGTCTACAAGCCTTTATATCCTATCATTGACAGAGCGTAATCGACAAGTATATCTTATGTGCGCGACTGTACGCCGTATTTAAAAGTAATCGATGATATTTTACTAATTCCCTATACAACGTTCAACTTATACTCATTTAAATACTTAATTTATCATTCAATTTAGACTACGGCTGTGCAAATTATTTTATTTTCTATAACATTGACATATTAAAATTATCAGGATTTATTCAAAATTTTCTACTCCGAATGCAGCGCTTTAGATACACCGATCTCATTAAAATATAACTCCGTATGTCCCATGGTATGAAAGTTTTGAGTCGAAGCCGCAGTTCATGAAATTAAGTTCGAGATATCTCTCGCTCTCTCTCTCTCTCTCTCTCTCTATCTCTCTTTCTCTTGTGACGTCGGATTGAAAAGAAAAGCTCGCGCTATAGTAATCGGCGTACAAGATGCGTGTGTGAGTGTCGTGTATATATGAATCAACTAAATAACATGGAACATTTATGAATTGCGTAAACGGCTGTGCAGCGTGCATAATAATGAGACTTCTTGTTGCGAGACCTGACCAGTGTAAGTAACGAGCAACGAAAGTGCGTGATGGTGCTTTGCGAGATGCGTGTCTAAGTCAATTTAATCGATTAACATCTGTCCGTCTGTCAATATGATCTAGAAAGTCAATATGATCCATAAACAAAAAACTATTGAAAATACACAAAATAAAATAACTGAGATTTATTTAGATGGAATCCATCTAAATGTATCTTTAAAAAATTCTAAAAAGGAAAATTATATTGTATCGGACAGCATCTCGCTTCAAACCATTTCATAAAGAAAAAAAAATCGTACTCACCACTTGTTAAGGTTTTTCTTAGAGGCTGGAGATTGCTCAAACTAGTTACACTACTGCTCTCTGCACTGAGATCGACAGGCGGTGGTAAGCTGGCAGGTGTATCACTGTGGGATCGTTCGTGCATTGGTACCCTGCTGCCGGATCCTACTCTTCTAGGTGCACCTGGACTAGGTTCTAAACCGCTCGAATGCAAGGCTAATCCCGGTACAGGTAACGGAGGTGCACAGTGCTTAGGTTGATATGGTCGTGTCTTATGAGGATCAGACAGAGCCAACATCTTCCTAACTGCTTGTGGCGACGCAGCGCCGAATTTTGTACCTAAAACAATCCATTATGTATATAAATACAAATTACAAAATAAATTCTTCAAAAAATATATTACAGTGCAATTGAGCAAATTCACCCCAACCTTGTATACTCTTCCTGCCTTCACTGGTACTACTGGCGCTACTGGTAGTCGACAGAGTAGGCGACGGATGTCTCCTTCCCCGACTGCCACCCAATGGTACCGCAGCTGCAACTGCAACGGCTCCTGCATGTGGTTCGCAATCAACAGAAAGTTGATGTAACCGTTCTTCGTCGGTGATCACTTTCATGTTCGCGAGATAGGCCTTCACTCTTCGAACCATCTGTGCTTCCTCAAACATTTTTTTCGGATTTGGTGCAGCCGTGGATTTTTTTCGTCGTTTCACAGTTGCAGTTTGGCCACCTATAAATCGCGATATGTGTAAATATTACATTTAAAACCTAAACCAGAAATAATAATAATAATAAAAAAACAATATAAGAAAAATCAAATTAGTATTAAATCAAGGTCAATAAGAGCGATACCATAGTTATTACGAGCGTATAATATTACAATGTTTTATTAGTGTAATTACTTTATATTCTTCATATATTAATGAATATATATTATTTTAATGTTCGAACATTTCAACTTGTTTCAAGCCATCTTCAACAATATGTAGTAAAAAAAATAAGAAACTTACCTTGATTGCCAGTAGTCATTTGGTTCAAAGCTACCATCGCGGAACTTGGTGGTTGCCCACCCCTTTCTAACATAGTTAGTAAATCATAAGGTGAGGAACACATATTTGTTAATGTTCTCACTTCCTTCGCGATCATTCTGAGTTTTTCGAAATTCACTAGACTTTCTACTCTTGAGTCATTACCAAGATGTATAAAGGTCAAGTCTTTTTTCACGACTGGATAGAAAGGTATCTGAAATAATCATTAAATTCTCGCTAGTAATAATTTAAAGTCGATATAGTACACAAATTTGAATAATAAAAATAAGATAGTAAATAAAAAAATTGTAAAATATAGAAGTAAATGTTAATAAAAGATAATTTTGTTACAAAAGAATGACTCACTATGGGTGGTTGCGTTTGTTCAGACGCCACCAATTGTCGATATTTACTCATATTGCGGCTGGGATCCATTAATTCTTGTAAATCACTGAATAATCTTTGATATTTGGTTGGCAGTTTTTCCCATGAAGCTCTTAATCTCGATACTGAGCCATGACCTAAACCGGATACGATCGCGAACATGGAATTGAAATTCTTGCACTCCTTGCATTGACCTATAGAAAAACATTACTGATGCAAAATATATGTGAGATAAAAATACAGAAAAAAATTCCAAATACTTACGCGCTATTTTAATAAATTGCTTTATAATCTTACTGCGCCGTACGAGATTATGTTCCGAACAAACTTCCGTTACAACCCAGAACATTTCTCTGTTGACTAGTTCTGCAAACTGACTGAGCATAGGAACACCATACCTACTCTTCAATTCAAACAGGTCATCCACATATTCCGTGGACTCGATTTGTCTGTAACAAAATATGTAATAAATGCAAATTGTAAATGCAATTTGCAAATTTTATATATTTCATGAAATAATAAATTATCTGAAATATTGAATTACCTGAATATACTGAAGTCTTGCAGAGTCAGTTGTATTGCTACTTCCACGGCATTCAATTGCAGAAAGTGTACTTGAGACTCTCGAATGAGTTCCGGAGCTTGATCGTCAGCTACTAAAGTTTCGGAAATTCCGTTAGTTTTCAAGTAGTATCGAGAGCTTAATCCGATCCGTTCAGCAAGATTCTGTAATTGATCTGGTAATCTACGCTGTTTAATCATGCCACCTTCGCCGACGCTTACTTCCGCCAGAGAGAAATTTGAACTACTTTCTGTTATGCCAAATTCTTGAAGTGCAAGCATTACTACCTACAGTAAATTAATGCATTATATGTATGTATAATCCAAACATAATTCGTATATTCTTCAATTATTTAATTTTAGCAATATAAATTTATTTACCTCATGCGCCGTTGTTTCTTTGTGAATAAGAAGATATTTGCAGGTTTGGTCAGCTTTATATACCTTGAGCACGTGTTCAGGATAATCGTTTGCCCTTAAATCATCGTAACAATAAAGCGACGTAAGATCTGGATTACTTTTCGAATGATATAGATTAGTAGTAGTTTGCGTAAGCCCTGTTCCCGGTGGTGTGTGCGGTGGAGCAAGAGGATCATCCAAATGTACACCGTCGCTATTAAAATTGAAAAATATTTGGTGCCGATAAAGGATTCATGTAGATTTAATTATTATTTATGCACAATACTTCAATCAATAGACTCACTTGATCGTATTCTTTGGCAGTATGTTCATTTTCATAAGTGCTTTCTGTAATCGCCGTTTAGGTCCAAGAGTCATAAATCCCTTGTGCTCCTTTTTAGAGTCTTTACACGGTGATACATTGTTGTCCGGGATTAATAATGGTACTCCACCAATCATAGGATTTAAAGGATTTACAGGAGTCATGGGATCCACATGTGTTGATAATCTAGCTCGTGGATCCGATTGAAGCCTTGGTATTTCCGGCTTACTTGTTCTACCTCGAGGTCTCGGAGAATTATCTGGCATTTGAAGCATTTCTTTGAAAGCTATAAGATCAAATAATTGAAGATAAAAGAGAGAATATTTTCTTATTATTTCTGATTTAAAAATTAAACTCACCAAGTAAATTAGATTTTACAGTTATACTGAGATGCGTAGAAGCTCTCAAAATATCAAGAGCTTTCGCATGATTTACATGCTCGAAACTTTGGCCATTTACTTCTAAGATCTGGTCACCTCTCTTTAAACCGACATCTTCAGCCTTGGATCTCTTGTCAACTTTTGAGATAAATATACCAAAACCTCTCTCAAATCCTCCTAAAATGCTAAAATTTAGGACCTCGTCCCTGTTTGGCCTGGCTAACGTTACATTCCGCGTTCTCGCTTTCGCCGCACACGCAATATTTAACAACCTGAAATTTCAATTACAAATAATAACAGTTATTTTCCTTAATATATTTTAATATATTTCCTTTGAAAAAATAAAACAGAAATTTACCTTTGCTGCCCTAACATTTTCTCTCTTTCCAATCCAGTTTCAAATGCTTCTAAAAATTCCATCATCGCTGGATCAGTTTCGAAATCGGTAAAATGATTGTTCACCCATAAGAGCACGACGCGTGCAACGCGATCTCGCACTTGCGCTTGATCAAACCACTCCAACAATTGACTTGCGACTAACAACGGACTATCGATAAACGTTCGATGAGTCAATAAAAAATCTTCCACATAAGTAGGATCTGTAATACTGTTTTCTTCAATGAGCTGTAACATCAAACGCTCTGGCGTTCCTCGAATCACCACGTGACCTCTTCGCGCTGCACCATCCAAAGCTCCCCGCAATTCAGTCACTAAAATTACCCTTCCATTCTCTTCGTGTCTCCTGGTATTCTCTTCACCTTGATGTTGTATTCGAAAATAATCTGCTTGCGTGACACAAACAAATTGGCAATCGTCGCACCTGCAAACAGAAAATTGCATTTTTTATACTTTTCTGTATCTTTCTAGGCCTATATGAAAGTAGAAAAGAATCATATTACAAACTTTGTTCTCATAACTCCACGATGTAGCAGCCTCTCCATAGTAGGCAAGATACCAAAGCTATCACCGAGACCGAGTTGTTCAATCTCACCATTGCTATGCTCAATCTCAACAGCACCGTTGATTAACACGCTCCAACTGTCGAGTTCCTCGCCATCATTCAGGACCACCATTCCAGCACGATCGACTACCGCGAACACCATCACAGCACACAGCGCTCTTCTAACAGCCAAAGTCATATTTGTGAAAGCTTTCAATTGTTGCGTAAATTCTAAAAGCGTCTCTATGTCGTCCTCTGTTCTCTCAACAGGATCCTTCTCTAAACATTCTCGTACAGGATCACGTACCGTTAAACTCTAAAATATCACAACAATAAACATTAGAATAGCATCCAATGCATTTTTAGGAAACAATAAAATAAATAAACAATAATAACACTTACATCCATGCTTTCTGCCAGATCTTCCTCCTCATCGCTATCAACAATGGACTCCACAAGACCCGACAAATCCACTTCATCAGGATCTGCATCTAATGAACTTTGTACAGATGTCATAGTGTCGGATCCACTGTATGCTGAACTTGTGTCACTCGAATGACTGCTCCTGTTTGATTTCTGATACAGCTCCGGCCTGCCTGTAAGGCCCTGTGAGAACTAAAAAAAAAAAAAATTTTAATAATTTATTTAGTTATTTCAAAATTTCTTAAAGATTCACATACATACTTTTTGCTAGATTTTATCATAAAATATACAAACCATCTTTATACATTATTTATGTAATTAAAGAATATTTCATATCGAACTTTTTATGAAATAAATTAATCAATTTTATCTCTTTTCCATATATTTTTTCCAATACTAAATATTCCATATGTTTATTATAGACAATTATATAAATCAATATAGTCTTGATATAAGATACAATATGTCCAAGGAATTTGTTATGAGATATAAATTCTAATCTGTAATAAGATTAGAAATCTAATCTCCACAAAAAGTACCACAGGAGAGATTATATATACAAGTACATAATAGATGTGTATAATGTTATATGCAAAGAGATATTTATGATAAAAGTTAGTAATGGAAAGCGAAACAATAAACAAGACGGAAAATGTAATACTGAAAGAAATCTATTTGTCATTTACACACAAGCAGTCATTTGAATATTATAAAAATACATTGATGTGAAATATAACGTAAACAGCAATAATTTAAGGTATGTTCCATGTAACTTGACTCTTGTTTGAATTATCAACCTAACAATAACGAGCAATTCAAAAACAGCCCAAAATAATGAGTCAGAGGGAAAATATGATAACGAAAATGATTCGCAATGCTGCTTCTGAGCATTAGAGACAACCTATATCCGCATATATAGCTATACGCAGGGAACAAAACATAGACGACGCCGTTCGCTAAAAGCGCAAAGTAGGAAATACCAAGAATGGGCGTGATTGGGACAGGCTCTAGTTCGCGGTTAGGTTAGGTCACAGCGACATGACATCACGCTCGCACGCATGTATGTATTTGTATGTACATACGTAGACCGTGCGAGCATCAGGGCGCGGGTGTATTTCTCGCGCGCGTTCACGTACATGATACATGTACATATTGGTCATCCAAACAAGACAGCTACAAACAACGAAGCTGTTGACGCTGTTGTCATGTCATCGCGAGGGGCGGTCGCGCAGCGCAGTGCAGCGCAGCGCAGCGTGCAGCAGAGAAGCGTATATTATACATTATACACCTCGCGTTCTCCGAGAACTCGCTTTCCCAAAGCGGAACACGAGCGGTCGCGAAAGAGGGAGACGAAGAGAAAAAGGGAGCCAAGGCCATTTTGAGTATATCTCTTGAGAGGAGACTCGAGAATCGAGAGTCGAGGCACTCACTTGATACACGCCGAACGCGTCCATCGCGTCAGCGGAATCCGCAATTCTCCTTGTTATTCTCGTCCTCCTCCTCGGCGGAAACAATCACGACAGATCCAACGAATCGTCGACGGAACGCGTCCGCATTTTCCTACGCGCTTTATCCGCCTCGTCCGATTGTTTTTCTCTCACTGTGGCGTGCCGCTATGCGCGCGTGGAAGCGGCCAGCGCCTCTCACAGCGTGACCCTCTTTGGCTCTTTATACAGCTTAGCACGAAACTCGTGATGCGTCCGACTGTCCGTGTTGTCGTTGTCGTCGCCGTCGCCGTCGCCGTCGCCGTCGTCGCGACCGGTCGTCAACTTAGCGGACATAGGCCTACCACTACCTCTCGACGTCTCGTCCCGCCACCACCCGCACCGCAATCCGTACCACGACCCACGAGCCGCTCTCAGCTCCACTCAGCTCCGCGGCCTCTGTGCTCCGTGCTGGGTGCTCAGTGCCGCTAGCAATGCTGGCATTCCCTTCGCCTTCGGATCGCAGCGTAGTCACGTGACGATTCGCCGTACCGTCGTACCGTGCCGTGAGCGGCTCTTCAGGACCGTGTCAACTGGGAGAGCACACCACGCCGCCGCCACCACGTCGGTCGCTCCAGCCGGAAAGGGAGGGGAGATAGATTGCCAGGCCACCTGTAGCTTCCACGCGCGATTCCGCTTCTTTTTCTTTTTTTACTTTTTTACTCTCCCCCCCCTCTTTTTTTTTTTTAGAAAATTCCATGTGGATCTCTTCACCATTTTGTCCGTTAATATCCCTATGTTTCCGATTACAAATGCGATCGAAATTACTGAGAAATTACAAACCTTGATTCTTGACAATCCGATAATATCAAATTAACATCGGGACTTTAGGTTTATAAGATACGCAAAAAATTTGAATTATATTTGATTTTCCTATATGTGATTATATTGGAATTTACTACAATAAAACAAAATTGTTTATGATATATATGTATACATATACAATTTATACAACGTATCTTAAATTATTACTAACGTATATTACTAACGTATTCTAAATTATCATTTTAAGTTTAGAAGTTTAAGATATCAAAAAATAAAAATATATATATACTGCAATACTACAGTATATGTATAGTAAATGGCACGATCATCTAATTAATCCATAGAATAAAAGAGAAACTAAAGAAAAAAAATCATATAGAACAGAGTTAATATCCATATATCGAAAAATGCTTTGATATTGACTGTGAATTCAATTACATTTCATTTCCTACAAAGTTAAAACGATAGCTGGAAATTTAATGAAATTTCGTTGTCCATATTGCATAGGGATTAAATTAAATTTCGTTACATTGAACATACACACATATTTCTAGTAAATCCAGTTTCAGTATTCGTAATTGCACAGTAGCTCGTAAACGCGGCACAATTTGCATCTTTATAATCTCAATATTTACAGGCAAACTGTATAGCCGTTGCATAAAGACGCATTCTGCCTTGTTAACATAAATAATATATAAAACCATTGTTATGGAATGATCTCATTATAACACACATATAGTTGCGGAGGCACATTTACGGTGCGCTAATGAAATTTCAAAATTTTAAATTTCAAAAATTTAAAACAAGATGGAAATTACAAAATAATAATAATCAAAAGAATTTACTAATGCCTATAATTGGAGATATAACTATATGCCGGGAAAAAAAGGTGTAATTAAGTGTAATTTGCGTATAACAGGGAAGATAATTTAAATAATAATAACTGTCTGATTCGTGGGAGGATCACTTGATGGGATTTCGAAGCGCTTTAACGATGACAGATTATGAATAATTACGGATTTACTTTAAATGGAAGAAGAATAAAGATTATGACGTATAAAACTCTCCCACGTTTGAATTTTTTAAAATTAAATATGTCTATCATATGTCTATCACAAGCTAATGCAAAATACATCTCATCAAATATTAACTTGTTTCTTATTAAATGATGAAATTATTTTATGGAGGTCAGAACCTATTAATACGTTTATAAACTTGAAAATTAAAATTACAATCAATAAAACACTATTGCAGTTTCAAATCTCACTAATAATGATCATCCGACAATAGCAATCGAAAAAAAGAAATTTGGAAATGAAAGATACGTAATTAACTTCACAATAATTACTTAGGTATAGATTGTAAATATTCAATAATGATTGAATAATGATAAGATAAAAATAACTAAGATTAAAAATACATAATGTAGTTTCCTTCGATTTGCATATCCACGCGAATGTCAGCAGCCAACGAAACGTCATAAGGATATTGCAAAGCACGCTTGAAAAGCTGATCAAGAAAGAACGCGCCAATGTTCCCGTGATTAATATTCATCAGCCTTCGCGATTAGTTAATCGCCATGCGGAACAATAAGCAAACAATGATGTAAATTGACGCCAATAACGACACCTGAATTGATCTTAAGAAGTCTATAGAAAGTCACTGTTGAGCGATCGTGTAAAATGCGCTTAAGGAGTCGACGGACGGTCGATCGAGCCGCAAAGGAAACAAGACAGTAAGAGAGGAAACGAGATGTAACGAGAGAGTGTGTGAGAGAGAGAGAGAGAGAGAGAGAGAGAGAGAGGGAGAGAGATGAGAGACAGAGGGACGAAGACCGAGAAACGCTGCTGCTGGTCCGCTCAAAGCATCTATCCAGCAACGGATAGTAACCGCTCAAAGGCCACTGTCCGACCCGACGGATGATTTATACGACCCGTTATGTCGTTCGTACTCGTGTATCTCACTTTTCCTTTTGTCTCGCGCCAACACACTACTTTCCAAATTGCTTCTTCCATTCAACTTTTTGCCCGTCGGAAGGACGAAGGTGCTGCAGATACTCTGCCGCACACAGTTTGAAGTCAAATCGATGAAACCTTTATTATCAAAATTATTCGTGAGTATCTTGTAACTACGTAGCCGGACTGATATCTTCGTATCTTGCATCACTCGACATTAAGTTTGATAATTTTATCATTCCTTAATCAGGAAAAAGATGTGACGAAAGTAAAGTTAGAAAGTAAGACAAGTTTCTATACTATAGACTTTCTGAGGTCTCGACAAATTATTAAAAATATTTACATACAATTTCTTATAGGTAAGTTTTATAGATTTAAAAGATAAAATTTTATAGAACTTTTATATATTAAATTATTTTTATTTAACGTATAACAATTAGGTGTTCAGAAACAAGAAAATGGAATATTTTCGTCAACAAAATTTTGAAACAAGAGAATATTTATTTCGTCAAGATTTATGAAAAGAATACAATAGATGTAATAATAATAGTTTATAAAAAAAAACCATACGCAATCATGAATGTTTCTAAAACAAGAGTAATTTATGTAAAACCAACTAGATTTGCTCGAAGAAGGATTTCCTCGTTTTAATATATGATCGAAACAACATTTACTAGACATTATTTTCTCGGCTGAGTAAGAAAAGAAATATTCATATACAAACAATCATGACTGTAAAATGTCACTTTAAATAAATAACTAAAAAGAAATAAGAGATATTTACCGTGTCATCGAAGACCAGATTGACTTGTCGGTGGTCGGTTATGGGATGGGGATGCGGTGGTCGATGCATCCTCCCTCCACCATGGACTTCCGGGTAGTCGATCTGCAAAAAATACAATTTATAATAAATTGATAAATTATAAATAAATTGTGTATAGAGCGTACAATTTATTAATGTTCAGTGATTATGTGAATAAGTGATTATGTGAGTGTTTATAATCAAGCATTTAAATAATCATCGAAGAATGATTGCCTGATCGTTTGTAAGCGTAACTTGATATCGTTGTTTGCTATGTATCAATTTATATTGATTATTACTTTTAATCTAGATTATGACATAATACACAATTGCATAACACATCTAAAAAATAAATCGTGATTTAAATAAAGATAATAAATAAATTTTACACTTATGACATGAGGCGTCTAATATCTTTCCCCATGGACGCGTGATGATAATCTCATTTGCGGATGCATTGAATATTGCTGTCTTATTTTTACGCTCTATGCAATACATTAAAAAAAAATCTCATAATAATTATCGGTTTATATAGAATCCCGCTACTACTTTAAAAAAATGTTAAAAACACAAATTTCGATTTTTGCATCTATTTTCAACCAGATATCTTCATAATTAAGTAATAAATTCAAATTTAAATGTCAAAATAAACAACTTAATTGAATTCTAGAAAATCAAATAAATTAAATTTAAAGTCAAAACAAATAAATACAAAGGATGTTATATAAATAGAGATATCTTGATAAATTACAAGATGCACCAAAAACAGTATTATAAGACAACGAGCTAGATTTTTTGTGAATTATAAAACACTACATAAATTGGATTAAAAAATGGTTTTATTAGTCTATTTGTATTTCAAAAATTTATTTTATTAAAAGATTTAATTATCTAATTATTTCAAAATTAGTATCTAATTGCGCGTATATATACAAAATGTGCCAAAAGTATACTTAAAAATTTCGTGATCGTGTTCGTGGATAAAAAGGAAGAAATGTTCCTAAGATAATAGACATAAATGCAGTAGTATCAAATAAAATTTATGAAAGTTTTGCGTGGGTATTTTTTTTACAAGAGATGCTCAAAATTCTCCACACATGTCTGAGTATGACAAACACATGACTAACGCATTCATTCATAAAGATTTCATTATTTCAATAACAAAACATTTGCGGCCAAATGTTCTAAGAAGCATTTCTTCCTCCTCTTTATCCTTTTATCTAATTTGAATTTATTACTAGATAATTTAGATAATACAGTATGCTTAATCTAATTTTTCTGTGACAACATAAAATAATACAGAATAAATATTTAAAATATGACGAATAGTAATATTTATAATGATAATCATAAGCATAACTTCATTCTAACGCAAATAATATATGATCAAAAATATAAATAAATAAATAATGAATAAAAAATAAGTAGACTTTATCAAGTTGACACAATACCTTGCAGTGTTAAAAAAAAAGTAATGATTATTCTAATTACATTATTCTAACAACAGACGCAAAAATTTGTTATGAAAAAACCCCTGCTATTAATTAGATATCAGACTATTATCGAAAAGTTACCATTTCAATTTTTTTTATTATCAGCTGATTATGATAATGTCAGCTGCTTTTTACTCCTCGCGACAGTCTCTTTTTCGGTTGACAGTCAACAGTATTCATTGCTGAACAGCAAGGAAAAAAAGGATGAAAGAGACAATGAGACGAATGCGCTTCAGGCCGGAACTCGTAGGCCGGACTTCCGGTAGATATGCTGGTTATACGTTCCATTCACGGAACCGCTCCCTCGTGACTCGATTGTTACAATGAATGTTTAGCCAATTTCGGGATGAAAGTTCAGTTTCCATAGGCGATCGATTGATCGGATGACACGACGCGACGTTCCGATTCAACATTTTACATGATGCATATATCGTCGCAATAAAAAAAGTAGCCCCGCATATTGCGTTGTTCGTTATATTGCGTGAAAAGTGACATAATACGTTACTTGCGCATTTTTTCGAATGTTGCTCCAAACATATTTAATTTGTCCTACATAATCATTAAAAGAATTGCAAACTAATCCCGACATTATACGTTAACATTAACGTTCTCGTACAATAGCTGTAATCAAATAGTACATTTTACAATTACTGTCTCTCCTCTCCTCTCCTCTCTCTCCTTATTTAATAACTCGATACTGAAAACACTCGCGAATTTAGAATTAGCAATCGAAAGCGTAACGCAATCGTGACGCAATTTATAAACGAAACAAGTGCAGAATGTTTTTGACGTAACGACTGAATTGTAAACAATTATCGCATACTAAGTATGAATGCAAAACAATGGCAAAATATTTAAGCAAGAATGTTTCATGATACGTTCAATTATGCCGCATGCTGTTGTACATGACCGAAAAATAACGTCACATTTTCTATCAAATTTCATATGAACTTAATCCCTATTAAAAATATACTGATTCTAATATTTTTTATATCATAAAAATTAAAATTTGATATATAATAAAATTATATATTAAATATCAAATACATAATAAATAACAATCAAAAAATTCCACAACAAATTAAAAATAAAATTATGTTATTTGTACATTATTCATACAAAATTATGTAGAATATATAGAGAATCGACCATGATTAATCGACCATAGAAAAAATAATAATACAACAAATAAGTTGCACGATACTTTAAACAAATATTGAAACGATGCGCAGGATGAAATAATATTTCAAAATAAAAACATTATTTGCTCTCGGTATTGTCCATTCTTTGCAAGCTAATTGTGGTTAAATGAGAAATATTCTCTCAATTATATGCTCTCATTCATTCCGTTCTCCCACATTATGTTCTCAATCTCTGCGTGAGACCTTCGACCGACGCGTGTAGGCGGCATATGTGTACATAAACACGAGGATCAAACAAGATGATCGAGATGTCAACTTGCTTTGCCTCCTCGTCTTTACATCGATTTCGATCCGAAACGTTGATGACCTCCTTCGCAGACATATCGCTCGTATCGCTTCGTATGCAAGGTTATCAACTAATTGTAAGAGGAACAGATGCCTTGAATTAAGATATTGATATGTAATCGAAACTTGTGCGTGTGTGATATGAAATAAACGACTGTTTCCTCAACGGAAGAAGATAAAGCAGCGATTAAAATCATCACAAAAGATAAAAAAAATCACACGTTCCACCCGCAGCAGATGTTTAGCATGAATTGAAAAGGAACTTTTATTATATTGATTTTAAGTTAATTTAATTGTAGCTCGAAATAAGCCATGACATTGTGTTAACTTTTATTTCATTTTATTTTTATACATGTAATGATATTTTCTTCGATATGTACGTACGTGTTTTTATTTTTATTAAATATCTTTTTCGCTTCTCATTTATTGACTAGTACAATTTATGCAACGCATATATATTATACGAATCAACGTGACACGTGTACATAGGATATCAATATATTATATACAAATTTCATACAGACTATAAATTAAGACGAAATATCTAAATTAAAAATGAAAAAATAAATTCATATAGTAAAATCTAAATAAATTGTGTAATACATTTGTTTTTACAGTTTAATTTTATTTCGATTTTTTTTCGTCAAAAATAATCTAAAACAAAAGTACTTTTCATTACCTGTCGCAACTTTCGCACAATTATTTTCTCAAGTTTCAAAGTAAACATTAACAAGTTATAAAAACAAACTTGTTGCATCATATAATTTACTCGTAATAAATTAACTTTTCAAGAGAGACTTAAGATAAGAAGGGTCTCTTTACCTCGGACGATACAATCGATAGAGTTCTCGGTGTACCAGGCCAGCTTCTGGACAATGAGCGACCTTTTCGTTTTCTTACGACGACCCGAGGTCGCCCAGTCCTGCTTGTATGTTTCAACATCGCAAACTCGGATAATTTAATCGGAATTACAGAATGTCTATTTGTACACCATATCCACGTGGTTCCTTTCTTGCCATCACTACACAAATCGATTCATGGATGTCATATCTCAAAGTGTCAAAAAACTATTCGATGCTACCAAATTCGATGTTTCACACACAGTACCTATTTTCCATCAACAATTCGTCGACACGTTTTCACATTAATCACTCATCAAACAACACTTTTAGATTTTGGCATAAAAATCGGACATTATGTTGTGAATGTCAAATGATATTTCACATTAGGGAGTTTTTGCAATAACGTTAATTCAGATACGATGAATGCTAAAGTCATGTTATCCTTTTCTTAATTAGTTGAGAAGAAGATAATAAACCTGACCTTTAACCTGACCGTATCTGGATGATATTATAAAAATCCCTATTAACGATTGAGAATTACGAGAGCACAATGATAACTAACATACTATAAACACCTTCGTCTATACATAATCACGGCGATTCTACTGTTTCATGAATAAGACCTTGCAAATTGTTTAATCTACTGAATCGACATCCAATAAAATTGTTAACAATAAAATTATCCTGCTCGTGTTTCGCGTTTGACATACACACACTCTCACGTACGTTACGTCTCGTGGAGAACTGAATCGTTCACAATTCTTGAAGAGGGCCAAAGACCGACCTGCTGCGGTCACGTGATTTACGCTCAGGAACGTAGAAAGGCTTATCGTATGTCGTAACATATAATTTTCCTGTCGACGCCGGAAATTAAAAAAAAATTGGTATAAAATTAATGGCGAATAAAAAATTTCATTCTAAATAACTCATGATCGTAAAGAACTTGATAAATTTAAATCGCAACAGGTATTCAAGTCTAAAAGAGAGAAGTGAGTAATAATTGATAAAGTGAGTATAGTATAGATTAATGTATATACAAAATAATAATGTATATACAAAAAATAAAATTACTTAATACATAATAAAAAAATATAGCTTTATGTAAGATGTGTTTTACTAATTCTAAATATTACAAATTCTTGAATCTTACAGATATAATTAAAAAACTAAAATTTCCTCGGAAATTTTCTTTAAGATAACAATATTGATTATTCTTTCTTAGCAATTAGAAAAAAATAAATTCTTCCAAAGTTGTCTACGAA